AACTGCTCATGGTTGTGCACGGCCACGATAATAAAAACAATACTGTCTAAATCGATTTGCATAGTCAGTGCCACACTAAACTCCTAAAGTATTACTTTAAAGAGCTAGAAAGAAAATTTATCAGGAGCAACCAAAGATCAGAATCTCAATGTAAAATAGGGGGAAAGAAGGGTGGCTAATAGCACTAGATCCCAAACTATACTACAAAGCAGTAATCATTAAAACTATTTGGTATTGGTCAAAAACTATAAAATTGAGTAGTGGAACAGAGAGGTCCACAAGATTCAGAAGCAAATGAACATAGTAGCACAGTGTTCAATAAGCCAAGGACATCAACTATTCTCTAGAATAAGGATTCATTGTTAAACAGCCGGGAAATCTAGAAAGCAGTCTGTCTTGAAAAAATTCAGTTTAGACCACCACCTCACACTTTATATCACAGTATGCTCCTAAATACATGGATATACGACCTAACCTAGACATAAAAGGTCATATTATAAGCAAATTAGGAACAAGGAAGCTGTGGGAAGGCAGGCACACTAATGCACTATTGGCAAAACTGTCAATTGATCCAACCATTGTGGAAAACAACTTGGAACAATACCTCAATACTGTAAATAACTTTCAACCCAGCACTACCATTATGTGACAGAGGGAAAGAACTCATGGACCCGAAAATATTTCTAGCAACATGTTTTGTCGCAGCAAAGAACTAAAAAAAAGCAAGCCTCCATCAACTGGGAAATGGCTCAACAAATGACAGTATACGAATAGAATGGAATATTATTGCCCTAACTTCCCAATTCCTCGAGTCTATGTAATTTCCATGACCTGCATTGTACTCCACCTCAGCTAGACACAGAGATGGTCATTCCCTTGATCCAGCCATCACCTAACCTGCCATTTCCACGTTCACAAACTCTGAAATTCTTTCATCTGATCCTAATCTTTTATTATTTCATCTTTTCCCTCCAGGCTACCACTCCTGCACTGGTAACGACTCTCTCCTTTTCCTACCTGAAACCCTCGGTGAAACAACTTTCCCCTGTCCTCTACTCTCCAGTCCCTTTCCCCTTTTTCTCCTGTCACTGATCATGCTTTGCCAAATCATGCTTAGATCACTCCCATCATCTCCTCCTATTCACGTGCTGCTGAACAGAGCTGGAGGAAATAATGAAAACATGCTGACCGGATCAACTCCAAATGGACGATCCCTCCTCTTAAATGGCTCCTCAAGGCAGTAATTCTACTCCTCACTAATGTATTCATAATCCCACTTCTCCACAGAAGCCATTCCAGACCTTCTGAGCATCCCTCAAGCCTCTCAAGGCACCTTCTCAGCTTAATATGTAGAGAAAGAACTGAGGCCATTTGCCAAAAGCTCCCCCTTCTCATCTCACAACGCTCAGACTTCTTCCCTCTCTATCTCCTCCTTCCCTCCAGTCTCAGATGAAGAAACAAGCCTTCTCCTTGTTAAGGCCAACTCCATCTAGATACACTCAGAATTCCATTGCTCCCGTCTTTTTTCAGAAGACTGCCCCCACTATCATACCTACTGTCCCTCTTGTATCTAATCTCTCCCTATTTACAAATTCCTTCCACACCTCTCTCATCATTACCATTCTTGCCTAGCTCATGTCCTATGGATCTCTCCTCCCTTCCTCCTGAAGAAAGCCATTTAGATTTGGTGCCTCTACTTCCTTTCCTGTCACTCTTTTCTACAACCTGGCTCCCCACCTCATCATTCAACCCAGATGGCCTTCTCTAATGTAACCAGTTATCTGTTAATCGCCCAGTTTCATGGCCTTTTGTCAGTCTTCATCCTCCTTGAACTCTCTGCTGCCCTTGGTACGGGTGATCACACTCTTTTCTCTCTCTTTCTTTCTTTTCTCCTCATAACATTACTCTCTCCTGGTTCTCCTATCTGTCTTCTCAGTCTCTTCTGCGAGATCCTCATCTAGGTCCTACCCACTAACTACGGGTGTCCCCCACATCTCAGTCCTGGGCCCTTCTCTCTTCTCTCCTTTACTTGATAATCTCATCAGCTTCCATGAATTCAATTATCATCTCCAAGCAGATGATTCTGGCTCAGGTCTCTCTCCTCAGCTCCTGTCATGCATCCCCAAGTAGTTGTCAGTTATCTTGATGTGGATGTCCAGTAGGCATCTCCAATCTGACATATCCAAAACAGAACTCATCTTTACCCCCAAACCTTCCCCTCTTCCAAACTTCCTTATTACTGTTGAGCACACCACCATCTTCCCTGTTACCCAGGCTGGCAATCCTAGATTCCTTATTCTCACTTAATCCACATGTCTAATCTGTTGCCTATTTTTACTGTTTCTACCTTCACAACAATTCTTGTATATTATCCCTTCTCTCCACTCACAAAATTACCACCTCACCACCTCCTGGTCAGACTTCTCACTGGTCTCCCCATCTCAACTCTCTTCCCACTCCAATCTATTCACCGTTCAGGTATCAAAGTGTTTTTTTTTTCCTGAAGTGTAGGTTTGACAATATCACCCCCCCCCAACCCAAAACACTTAACAAAGTGCTCCCCATTACCTCCAGGATAAAATATAAAATACTCTCTTTGGCATTTAAAGGCCTTTCATTCCAGTCCCTTTCTACCTTTCCTAACTCCTTACATCTACCTCCTCCACCAAACCTACAGTCCAGCTTCCTAGCCTACTTGCTCCCGGCCCATGACACATTCTTCCCATGTATTATCTCAATACCTTTGCATGGGCTATCCCCCATGCCTAAATGCTCTCCTCCCACCTCCCTCTGTCTCAGGGATGCTCTCAACAGTCAGTTCAAATCCTTCCTGTTGCCCTTCCTTTCCTGGCCACCACTGCCCCCCAGTCAGGCCAGGCCAGCCCCACTGCAAGTACTTTCCCTTGGAAATTCCTTTCCACTTACATACAGTTAGCATTTCTACAGCAAATTAAGGTTTGCAAAAGGCGCTTTACAAATTTTATCTCAAGGGCAGGTAGGTGACACAGTGGATAGAGCACTGGCCCTGGAGTCAAGAGGACCTGAGTTCAAATCTGGCCTCAGACACATAACACTAACTGTGTGACCCTGGGCAAGTCACTTAACCCCGGTTGCTTCATATTAAAAAAAATTTTTTTTATCTCATTTGATCTTAAAAGCAAAACTGATTATATAGTAAGCACTAAATAAATGTTTGTTGATGCCCATTATGAATGACTTTCTTATTGGGATGTAAAAACCGATGGAAAGGCTAGATTCAAAGAAACCTGAGGAGAACTGCAGGAACTGGTATTGAACAACAGTGTCAATTTATGCAATGACTACAATACATAAAGGAAAACACCTTTCAAAGATTTAAGAGCTCTCTGATCAATACGATGACTGGACACAATTTCACAAGAGTAATTACAAAGCATTGCTTCTACCTCTTGGCAGAGTTGATGCAAAATGCGACCTCCCTTTCCAGATATTATCAAAATATAAATGTGTTTTACTTTGGTATACTTATTTGTTACAGGGGAGGGGTTTCTGGGGGGCAGATTATGTTGAATTAGGAAAAAAGCATTTATCGAGTACTTATTAATTGAAAGGCACTGTGCTAAGCACAACAGATATAAATGCCAGTCCCTTGGCATTTATGGACAGTCCCTTGACCTTAAAATGAGAAGACAAGCCTTACTGGGGAATTGACAACTCCCAGGGATGTTCAGTGAGCAAATACAGCAATTGACTGACCTGCCCTTTCCAGAAGCAATGGTAAAGTTGGTTTGATTAGTGTTCCCAGAGGTAGAAATGGGAAGGAGGTACATGCCTAGCATGTCAGAAAAATGATTAAGGTTAATGATCATGGTTGAGTTTGGGGTCAGCCAGGTACGTTCTGAAGGGAGCTAAGGATTCTAAGACACAGAGATGAAGAGGGAGAATATTTCAAGACTAGGGCCAGTCTGTGTAAGAGGTAGGGAGGTGGGAGACTGCATGTCAGACACAAAGAAATTAGGAAGCCAAACTGACTGGATTAGAGAGAATGTAAGGGGAGTATAAGGAAATAAGGATTATGGAGGGTAAAGATGAGGAAGAGGTGTAGTTAGTGACAGAGATGCAGAAAAAAAGAAAAGCACTGTTCATGAAACATTTAAAAAAATACAAAGATACAAAATACAAAGGAGAGGAGGGGGAAGTTCAGAATAAACACAGACAGGCAGGGCAGTGTTGATCCTACTTGCTAAATGGAATACAAAAAAGAAAAACAAGTTCTGAAAAACAGAGATTCACAGTTTCATATAAAACTCTCTTTTCCTGGTCTCTGTATGCGAAAAGTTCAGCTTTGTTGATATTTGTCACGTTCACGATAAAAAGAAAATTTGAAAAACAACAAAAATGTAACTTCAAGGCGAGAGTGATTCTAACTAAAGAAGATGGGGGATGACGGGGGGGGGGGGGGGGGGGGGGAGGAATAAATTCACCTTTTCATAGAGAAGGACCAGGAAATCATCGGATTAGACTGAATGTTCCCCAAAGAACTTTGTGGCTCTGAGTTTTAGGGTGAGATCTTTCTGGTTGAAAAGAGATTTTAAACACACGATGTCACCTCTTCAGAGGCCACAAAACACTGCCTGTGCATCCTACAAACCACTACCTGGCCACTTTCTCCAAGGTGAGTTAGATTATGGTTGCGGGCGGGCCAAGGGGCAAATAGCAAGAGAGCCCAGCTCGTGGTCATCTTCCGGTCAGCACAAGCACAAACGTGGGGGAAGAAAGACTTCCAAGACAGATGTCTTGGAAGAGTTCAATGGAAGACCCCTGGAGAGCCTCAAACTTCTAGGGACACCCCCCCCCCATTAGCTCTCGGAGGTGTAGAAACCTCAGACTTACAGATTCAGTCTGACCGACTCCGTGATTTAACAGATGAGTAATTGGGGCCCAAAGTCCGACGAGGACACAGACAGGAATCGATAGGGATGGGAAGGATTTGCACCCAGGCCCTGGGGCGCGGGCGTTACCTTGGTGATGACGAAGTTATCCCCGCAAGGACAGGGGTAGAAATACGTCTCCGTTTCCTCTTCGTATTCGAAGTCTTCGATCTCCACCTCGTCGTGAAACACCGACATCATCAGCACAGCAACTAGCCGGCTCAGGTCACCGGCCAGCCCAGCATTCAGTACCCCACGCCAGCGACCTTGATTTCCGGCCGCCCCAGCCCCGCACGAAGCCTGGGGCGCACGCGCAGACGCGCTTCCGCCCGGCAGCCAATGGGCGCGGCGAGAGGCCCGGAAATGAGTGTCGGCATCTGGGCGGAGGTCACCATGGAGACTGTTTAGGATTGAGGAGGAAACACGAGGTAGGAAGTCCCGCCCAGATTCCGGGGAATCCAGCCATTCGCTTGCTGCAACATGCTCCGCCCTTCGGAGCCAATAGGATTCCGGCGTCCGTAGCGTAGTCCCCGCGCAGCGCACGTGCTGGAGGACTTCCGTTGGCTTTTACCCGCCCAGCTCTGGGGAGGCGGAAGCGGGGCTGGCGGACACTTCAGGGAAGAACGTGGCCTTGACCCTTCTTCTGCCTCAGCTTCCACCAAACGTAAGTCCAGAGGCAGAGCCCGGGCTGAGGGGGCGCCTCGCGGGGTCCCTGGCGGCCGCGGGTCTTGGCGGCGCTGGACCTCACCCCAGCCGCCGAGCGGTAGTCTCCCGGGACAAAAACGCCTCCCTTGGGTCCCCGGCGACCCCGGAGGCGGAACCGATGACGTTGGGCTCGGGGTGTCTGTGCCCCTGACGCGAGCAGGAGCTCCGCACCTTGGGCGCCCCCGTGTCGTTCCTGGGACGGGAACATCCATCCCCGTATACCGCGTGTGTGCGCGCACACGCCTGGGCCTTTCATTCAGATTGGCGGGGACCCCAAGATTACCGCGGGGCCGCGGGGGTCCCCAGATTGTCGTGGGGCTGGGGGGACCCCCAGATTCCCGTGGGGCTGCGGGGGTCACTAGATCACTGAGGGACTCCCCAGGTTACCGTGGGGCTGCGGGGGTCGCTAGATCACTGAGGGGCTCCCCAGATTACCGTGGGGCAGCTCGACCTCGTGGTTACCTAGCTACTCTCGCAGCCTGTTTTACCGGAGCCCAGGGCTGACCTTTAACCCACATTAGCCGGCCTACCTTGGACTTCAGTCCTTCCAGCGTCCCAGGGGGCTGGAGGCTGTGCCACTTAAAGACCTAGTGTAGACATTAAGCCCAGGCTGTGACCACATCCCTAAAGTGGCATCCAGCTTGCTGTGAGCCCTTCCAGCAGGCCTGTTTTTAAAAGGCACTTGACTCAGAATTCTTTTTTTTTTTTTTTTTGGTGAGTCAATTGGGGTTAAGTGACTTGCCCAAGGTCACACAGCTAGTACGTGTCAAGTGTTGAGGTCATATTTGAACTCAGGTCCTCCTGACTTCAGGGCCGGTGCTCTATCCACTGCGCCACCTAGCTGCACCCCCAGAATTCTTGTATTACGATTTTGATCCTGTGAATGAGACCTAGATCCATGGGCTGGCCTGATTTCCCACGCTGCTTTCATTTCACCGTCCTTGGCTGTTGGCTCTCCCTTTCAGTGGCCAGCCGTGGTTCCTTTAGTAGTAAAACAAAACTTTAGCCAAACAGGACACAAAGTTTACCACCCCACCCAAAGCTTTCAGATTTTAGAGCTGTTCTGAAGGATAGTAGGATTTTTGTTCCTCGGAGGGAAAATAACCATATACTATAAAACAAAGTTAATTTTTGGATTTTGAGATAAGTAGCCTTTCCAATTAGCAAAAGGTCATTTAAATTTGTTGGAATATTAACATTTTCTTTGGTTGCAAAATGCTAAAATATTAAACTAGGGATTTTAACACTGCAACTGTGTATGAGCAAAAGTTCAACTCTTCATTTTGATAACCAAGAAAATGAAATAAAGCAAAACTATTTTAGAGCAAGTAGGCCATATGAGTAACAAAAATACTTTTTTGCGGGGGGGAGGGGGGTTGTCTATAAAGCCCAAGTGAGCTGTAGAGCATGGTCTAGTGGGAAAAACACAGAATTTGAAGTCAGAACACCTAGGTTCAAGCCCCTATTCCACCATGTCTTTGTGACATTGGGCAAATCACTTAACATCTTTGGGCCTCAGTTTTTACATCTGTAAAATGAGGAGGTTGAACAAAATGATCTCTTAAGATTCCTTGCTGCTTGAATTCTACAATCCATTTTTTGAAGCATTTATAGGAATCAGTAAAATAGTGCTAAACAATTCCAGGTTGTTGGTGGGAATTGGGTGTTACTTTGATTAATACCAGTTAATTCACTAATATAGATCTAGTGTGTCCTTATTATATACTTAGCATATACTTATGTTGCTTCAATGTCAGATGTCACTTGATATTTCAAACTTACTGGTATGTAAGTTTTGTTCTTACTCGGAAATTAGCATCTTTTTGATCAATTCATGAATACTCATTAAGTTAAAATCTCAGCAGTTAATTTTATAACTGTGGCATAGGGGATGGAGGGCTGGCCTTGAAGTCAGGAAGACCTGGGTTGAAGTCCTACATCTGACATATAAGCTGTAAGACCATGGGTAAGTAACTTCATCTCTCAATATCACTAGCCAGTAGTCTAAGACTGCATTTCAGAGTGGTTGCTCACTTGTATCAGTGATAGGTTGTTGTTGTTTGTCCTTCTTCTTGAAGAGGACATCAGGAAGGTGATGCCATGATTTGCAAGTAAGTTGGATTTAAGTGAGGAAGGACTGTGCAAAGTCACCAGCCTTACTTTCTCCTCTGGATCCATCTGGGTCCAGTGGCCAGATACAGATCAGGACAACTAGAGATGGCCCCAATCAGTGATAAGAGTTTTTTTACATTAGGAATGATTTAATCACTCGACCTAGTGAACCGCAATACAATTCCAGAGAACTCATGGCAGACCGTATTATCTACTTCCTGACAGAGAGGGGTGAACTTTACATACAGAAAACAACACATTTTCAGACACTGCCAATGTGGGAATATGTTTTGCTTGACTGTGCTTATTTGTTACAAGGATTTTGTTTTTTCTTTTTTTTTTTAAGTGGGGGAGGGAAAGAGGCACGTGTGAAGAAGAGGGAGATTGGGAATGGGGTTTCAAAAAAGGGGGGGAAGAAAAAAGGAAGAGAAGAGGGCAATTGAGGTATTTCTCCCCCCCACTTAATAGTATTTTTTTTCCAATTACATGTATAGTTTTCAACATTCACTTTTATAAGATTTTGAGTTCCAAATTTTTCTCCCTCCCCAAGACAACAAGCAATCTGATATAGGTTATACACGTACAATCATATTAATCATATTTCCATATTAGTCATGTTGGGAAAGAAGAATCAGAATAAAAGGGGAAAACCATGGGGAAGAAAAAAAAAAGTAGAAATAGTAGATGCCTTCCTTAAAGAACACAGAAGACAGCCAAAGAAATTCCAGAAGGAATCATAAGCGTGGAAAATTCGGTGTTAAATTTATTTTATCTTTAAAAGCTGTCCATAATAGAGATTGGCAGTAACACATGCAGTCTTCTTTTTTGTTCCCCTGCTATACAGAAATGTTTATTTGGTGTTCAGAATTGTTTCAGATCCCCGGTCTAGATTCCCTCCCCCCAGTAATTTTACTTATGATTTGTGGTGTTCCCATTTTCCTTTCATAGTAAACTGTAGTCATTTCCATTTACTTCTGTGTGTAAAACATTTCCCAGGTGCTGGAGGTACAAAAATGAAATAACCCCTGCTTCAAACGAGATTATGTTGTAATGAGAGGGCACAATATGTACACAACCGAACAGTAATTTGAGAAGGGAATGAGCACTCTTGATTAAGGTGATTCAGAGAATACATGAATGAAAAAGTATTAAGTGTTTGCTACATGGCGGACACTCAGAGATTCACATAGAAAGTATTAGACAGTCCCTGCTCACACTGATTGGTGAAGACACACATAGAAGTCTAGCTACAGCGTGGATGCCAAGGTCCAGAAATTCCAAGGGTTCAGCAATGCAGATGGCAGTTAAGATAGAGACAGGGTAGCTGGTAAGGCCTGAAGGGCCTTCGGAAGCAGTGGCAGGTATATGGCTTTCCATTTTACTGAATGGAATGGGTGGTGCCTGCCTCATCTAAGCCATATGAATAGTCAGGCAACTCAGATAGGTTCTGACTGGCTCTGGCCTGGCTGATGGAGAAAGAGAGGAAGGGTTCCCCCAGAGTGTGTGGGTGTGTGTGTGGAAATCTTCCTGAAGGTCAATCTTGAAGGAGTTCCTAGATAGCTCAGAACCTTTTAGGAAGACAAGGTCAGAGTTGGGGAGGCAGTGTATTTCTTGAATAAGGATTGTTTTAAAAAATCCTGGAGTGTGTAAATGGTACCATAATTTTAAACAAGGGCAGATATTCCAGTTTTCAAAAGAGGGAAGGGATAGCAGTCTGTGGACTATATAAGCTGATGAACTTGACTTCTATTCCTGGCCAAAAAAAAATTTAAATAAGCTTTTATTCTCATTCCCCTCCAGCCTTGCTGCCAATTGAAAATCTTGGCAGGACTCTAAAACACATGAACAGGTCTTTCTGGACTAACCTAATTTACTTTTTTGACAAGATTTCTTAATCTGTTACATAAGAGAAATGGTGTGGATACGGTTTATCTAGATTTTACCAGAGCATCTGATAAAATTTCTCCTGCCTTTCTTGTGGACAAGGTGGAGAAATGGACGTTAGACAGCAGGTGCCTTCAGGCTTGGTGAAGGACCACAGACCCCAAGAGCTGATCACGCCCTTACTGGCTGGTGATTTTGGACGGAGGTCTCTTGTGGACTGACCCAAGCAATGGGTCTGTCCTTTGTCATGTTCATATATGACTTGGATAAAGGTACATTTGCTTACATTTGTGGATGGCACAAACCTGAAAGGGATAGCTGATAAATTGTATGACAGAGTAAGGCCCCACCAAAGTCTCAGTAATCTCAGCATTGGGCCAGGTTTACCGTAATGGAAAGAAGGTAGAGTTTGGAACCAGAGGACCTTGTTTCAAACCCCTCATCTGCCATTGTATTACTTGAGTTGGCCTTAAGGATGCTGCTTTGCCAGTCAGCCTCAATTCCTTTGTGAAATGGGGGAGATCGTTGGATCATAGATTTAGAACTGGAAGGAATGTTAGAGAACATCATTCCAACCGCTTTGTTTACATCTGAGGAAACTGAGGCACAGAGAGGTTAAGCAACTTACTGCACAGCCTTCCCTGCCAGCTAGAGGAGAGACTAGAAACCAGCAGCCCAGGTCCAACCTCCTCATTCTACAGGTGAGGAAACTGAGGCCCAAGAAGTGAAGTGCCTTGCTCCAAGTCTCACAAATGGCCAGCGTCAAGAGGTGGGATTCGGACCTAAGTTCTTCAGCACCGGAGCCACTCTGGCCACTGAATCTGGGCTCACGCTTTGTTTGTCTTTTAATGGTACTTTAAGGTTTACAAAGTCCTTTATTGCGTCATTTTATCATCATAACAACCCTGGGAAGCAGCTGATTTTCTTATGCCCATTTTAAAGATGTCGTAACTGAAGCAGACAGTTAAATGCCTTGCCCAGGGTCACATAGCTGGTAAACAGCTGAGGTAAATAAATTAAATAATTAAAATTAATTATAAGGTGGTTGATGAGAGAGCAGATATATGCAGCGAGCATCCTGTTAAATGAACAAAATGATCATTTTTTCACATTTCTGAAAAGTTTGAGGTTCATTGCACATCTGTAGTGTGCTAAGCATTGGTGTGAACATATAAAAACATGATACCCAAAGACTCTGTGTGTTAATAGAAATTTCATATTCTAAACAATTGAATAGAAGCTTTGGAAAACTAAGCTTAAGAAAATAAAGCTATCTAACTTCCAAAAATGCAAACAATTTGGTAAACCCTTTGATTTCCCAGTAGATGGTGCTGTGGTTAATAAGCATTGTAACAAAACAACAGTTTTAGAATAAAAAAACAAAGTAGCTTTAAAAAGTGAACATTTCTTTGTTTCCCCTTCAGTTGAGTAGAATATTCAACAGCTTAATCACCACATGATGTTCCATTGTACAGATAATTAATTTCAGTAACAATTAGTTAAAATATTGAGTGTTTTAACTATTTGCATAGTAGTTCTCTCATCATGGCAGTTGGTTTAAAACAGAAACAAAAATTCAGTTAGCCTAACTTTTTGTCTCCTGACATGGACTCTAGGAAATGAATGGAGTGAAGAGAATTCAGGGAAGAGAAAATGAGAGAAACAAAGCAAAAGCATGGGAGAAGGGATGTGTGCGGCGAAGACTAGGAGAAAGGAGAGGTGGATTACAGCAAACTCTTGCCTCCTAATTATAATGAGATTTATCATTACAGTGTTAGTGGGGGAACATTTTTTTTTTAAAATAGGGTGTTCTTCCTAGTTTTCTTCCCTACATGGAAACAGTTTGGGATGGAGAAAGATGTAGTTATCCTTCCACATCATGGCAGCCCCATGATTTAGAAAATCTGCGTAAAATTTTTTTGGCTTTCCCTTCATACCAAAGAAAAAGTCTAAATTTTTTCGTTTTCTTTTATGGGTTTTTTATTTTTTATTGTAAAATTTGCGTTGATATTATACAATCCTGGAATATATTTTATGCTTTCTGAGTTTCTCAACTTTTTCTATGTTGTCTGCAGCTTCTACAAACCCCCCCCCCTCCAATTCCCGTTTAACTTCTTATGCTGACCCTCAGTGTATCAAAACCGCATTGAGGAAAGTTGTGATGTGGAAGGGGTAACTGTAGAAGGATAGAGAGAGAGATAGACTGATTAGTGAGTGTGTGTGTGCCTCCATGTGCATACACATACACATACATACGTAATAAAATCAGGAGAGGGAAGGGATTTTACTGGTGTGGAAAGCTCTGCCAGTGAAGGTTGGTGTTTCCAACTTAACAGTCACAGCCGGTGTGTTTCAGTGGCAAGACACCCAGTTCTTTTGGTTCCAAGGCAATCCTTCCATCAGCAGTGTTCCTCTTAAGAGTTCTGTAAGTTCTTCTCACTGTGCATTTTACCGCTCTTCCTCCTGGTCAGTTCTGGGTTTATTTTAGGGTCATTTTCTCATTGGCTCCATTGGCCTGGCCAAAATCTACGGACTGATGCCCTAAGTAATTGCCCACTCTCCTGCATGCCCTACTTTGTCTCTCTGGTGCCAAGCTAACCCTGCTGTGGTTAGAACCTGGAGTTTGGAAGCCTGGATTTAAATCTCACCCCAACATGAACTGTGACCACAGCTAGGTCCCTCTGAGAGCCTTAGATATTCCATGTCGGTAAACTAGAGAAGGTCATATTTGCATTATTTGCTTTTGGTGAGGATAACAAGGCCTTCCATGGTTGTTAAGGCATTAAAGAGTGTTATTGTCCATTTAGCTTTTTAAACTAAAGTAAGAGGCCTTTCTTACATCCTGCAGCCTCTACTGCCTTCCCCATCTGTATCCTGTGTACTCCTTTTTACATATCTGTGGCTTCCCTTATCAAGTGGAAACTCTTTGAGGGCAGGACTCTTTTGGCTCTTTCTGCGTAAGCCCAGCACTTAGCAGTGTCCGGTACATAGTCAGTGCTTAATAATTGCCTGTTGATTGAGTGACTTTTTTTTTTCCCAGGTGTGGATTGTTAGGTCAGTATCTTTTGAAGAGGATCACAAAATAATAAATTTGTAGTTGGAGAGGGACTTAGATTTTATCTAGTCCATCCACTCATTTTACTGATGGGGAAACTGAGGCTGAAAGGTTGTTACATGCCTCCCATGGGTAGTAAATGGCAGGAATTTGAACCCGGATCCTGAGTGTAAATCTCACTGGATCCTCATCTTGTGGGTCCTTATTGAAATTCAAGCATTTAAAGTTTTAAAATCTCCTAGATTTAAAAATGAATTTGAACCCATTTCTTTCGTGTAAATGCTGGGTCTTTTTTTGTTTCTGGCTTTTTAATCTTGAAAGGTGAAAAGTAACCCCATATTTTCATAATTTGCTAAAAGAAGGAATATGTTTCTTAATTATTTCACATATTAACATTAACATCAGTCACAAGAAGCAGATTCTTGTGTCTAAAAACATATTTTCAACGTAGGTGACTATTTTCTCACAAGATTATAATTGAACAAGCAAAATGTATGACGTGGGAATGTAAATGTTCACCCAGTATGCACATTTTTATTAATAGTGAGCCCAGTACATTGATTTTATATTCTCCCAGAAAGTTAAACTGACTTTCTGAAAAGCTTTTAAAGACGTTTCTGGAGGACCTAGAATGGGCATTTCATTCATTCTTTGGGTTACCTGAGGCAAAGACGGCAGGTGGTTCCCATTCAATCTTAGGCAGAGAGAGATTTGGGGCTCCTCAAAAGGCCCTGTACCCCTGTGTCCCCTGCTCCCTAGACTAGAGCGTCCTCTGCTTTAGAAAAAGACTTGGCAAAGGGTCGAGGATTGAGGAAGCTGCCTGATGTTTTCATGCCAGGAACTTGCACCTTTGTACAGTATTGGGATAGGGCTTGGAAGAAAAAACCCTAAAATAAACTTTCCCTGCAAGTTTTTGCAAAGGAAACCACCCTGACTCTGGAATTAGAGCACCTGGGTTCAGATCCTCCCCCTGCCACTTACTCTGTGAGCTTGGGCAAGTCTCTTTACTTTGGGAGTCTGAGGTGGTGCCTGAGGGCCCTTCCCTTTGGACCCTAGGACGCTAGGTTCATGTGCATCACAGATCCTCAGATTCAGAGAATGGAATAGGTCTGCAGTTATTCTCCAGCTGCCTCATAGACATCTCCAACTGGATGTCCTGCAGACTCCTCAAACTCTGTCTGAAACTGAACTCGTCTTTCCCTCTTCTGAATTTTCCTCTTATTCTTAAGGGTACCCCTCTCCTGACCTGGAAGTCCTCACTCTGTCACCCCCACCCCATCATCCAGGCTGTTGCCACGGCCCCTTGGTTTCACCTCCGCAGCATTTCTCAAATACTCCCCTTCTCTCCTCTGACACTGCCCCCCCAGCCCAGGCCCTCCCCCAGCGCCTCATATCTGAACATTGCGGTCGCTGTTGGGGTGGGGGTGGGGGGAGGGCTGGCTGCCTCGAGTAGCTAGCTCCCCCACTAGCCATCCTCCACACGGCTGACGGATTTATTCTGACATTCCAGTGCTCCTTAGTGCATCAAGGGCAGGCTCTGAATTCTTCTGTTGACTTGACAAGTCCTTCGTCATTTGGGTAATTTGGCCTCTCTCTAGCTCCCCAGCCTCATTGCAGGTCCCCCCTCTCCTGCCTCTGCACATTCATCCTGTCCATCTCTCATACCTCTGGTGTGTCCTCCCTTCTCCCCCCACTCCCCACCTCATCGGATCTTTCCCTTGTTTCAAAATGCAACTGGAGCATCACTTTGTGCAGGAAGCCTTTCTTTATCCTCCTGTCTGAGGCAGCTAGTGGTCACAGTGAATAGAATGTCTTGTTTGGGGTCAGGAAGACCAGACAAACAGTAACTTTGGTACGCTGGGCAAGTCCCTTAATCTCTTTCAGCCTCAGTTTCCTTATCTGTCAAGTGAAGATAGTACCTCCATTACAGGGTTGCTGTGAGAACAAAATCATACCTGTAAAGTGCTTTCCAAACCTTAAATCCTAAAAATGTTAGCTATTACTGTTATATGTTGAATCTCCCAAAGAATAGAAATTCTTCCAGAGCAGGGATTGTTTTGGATCTTTTGTCTTTGTCTCTGTGTTGCCAAGCTCAGTACCTGGCATGTAGTAGGGAACTCATACATGCTTGTTAATTAACTAACAGAGGTTCTTAACCTTTTTATGTGTCCTGGACCCCTCCCTCTGAAGTCAGGTGGAGCCTATCCGCCCCTTTATATTGTTTTTAAATCCATAAAATAAAGCATATAGGATTACGAAGGAATATCCAAATATAGTTATCTACGTTTGTTTAACTTCCTAGACCTGAGGCCATGAACCCCTGCTAAACTTTCATAGGGATGAATGTCAAAGAAGCTCTCATTTCTATTGTTATTAATAATAATGATATTATATATCATATTATAATAATAACTAGGGCTGACTGCCAGAAGAATAACCTGCCTTTGCCTCCTTTCCTCTTTTTATAAAATTTAGGCTTTCAGGAGTGTTCTAGCCTCTGCCCTATTGGACCATGGCTCGTGCTTTTGTCACGTCCCCCTTGTTGAGAGGCTCTGCTGGAATGTTCTGCCCTCAGGCTGCATTGTCACCACCGAGGCCCAAAGGCTTGCGTCACTTCACCGGTAGCTGGTATGTCCTGTGTGCTCTGTGACATTGGAGGCTGGGGAAACTTCACTGGGCCCCGTAGGCTTCTCGGCTTTTCCACATCAGTTGCCCTTAGGGTACGGTGAACTGAAGATAACTTACTTGTACATTGCTCTTCAGGCTTATTGGTTATTTCTTAAGATTCTGCCTGCTCGCTGGCGTCTTTCAGATTTGCTTTACTGTGCATGTTAACGTGAGTCATTGCTTCTCTAAAGGGCAGGCATAGTAAACTTCTGGTTTTGCTCTTTATTAAACTAGCATAATGAAATCCCAGAAGAAGAGTGATCACTTGGAGAAGACAGAAGAAATCTTTCGAGAAAAGGTCAGTACGTTTATGTTGTGCTGTGATTATTCTGTCTTCTTACCCAGGGCAGTATGGGGAAATCCCACATGATGCTAACTTGCCTTTTCTGGATAAGTCTGCATAATGATAACTCACATTGAGGTAGCTCTTTGATTTACAGAGCACTTCCCTTGGAACAGTCTTGTGAAGAAGTGGAAGAGAACAAGTATTATTGCCTTTGGTTTACAGATAAGGAAACGGGGCTCAGAGACAGTTCTGTTGACCCAGAGCCGCGAGGGAGCCCAGGCTGGCAGTCCTGCTTCCCACATTTTGTGGATGAGGGATTTGACCAGGTCACACAGGGAGGCAGCATTGAGAGCTTGGTCCTTTTACATGCCACATGCTGCCCAAAGAGCTCATTCTCCTTATGGGTGCGGGTGACAGGTGCTTGCTAACTTCGTCCAGAGTCAGGGTGGTGCGGTGAGATGGCCCTTCTCCAGGGGGTAGCATATTAGATATGAACTGTCGTCGGGGGGTAGGGATGAGCTCATGTAGAGTTAGAATCTTAAATGACAGGACTTTTTACAAGCCTTTGCCTTAAAATCCTTGTTCTCCCTCCTGCTGTAGAACAACTTCTCATTCCAGCATGTGAGAAAGCAAAGCAGAAGATCTTTTTCCTTGTCCCAAGCGCAGAATTTCCACCATATTCAGACAGACCCCTAGAAAGCTTTTCTGCTCCATGAAGGAGTTTCATGGCATGGGAAGGACACTCACCCTTTCCCTCTGTGAGTAGCCCCCTTTTCATTGAATATCTGAAAATGAATGTTTGATCTGGTTAACGGTTTTCCATGAGTTGTGGTTTTCTACTGTCCATACTGCTAAACAGTGTTAATATTTTAAATAAATTTTTCATTAGTTTTTTTAAAGCCTACAAATATCACATGCTAAATTTTGTTATTCTATGTAATGAGGCTACACTTAGGGGAAAAAAACAACAGACACTAGTAGTAAGGAAGATGTCATGATCCCCCGCTCATCCCCACTCACATGTATGTAGTGCTCTGTGCTTGCCAGACTATTTTCCTCACTTCCTGGCCCTAAGTCCAGTGCTCTTTCCATTGCCTGACGCCATCATTTACTAAAGAACTTGTATATCTGTGGAAGTCATCGGGGGAGGGGGAGGGGGAGTGGGGAGACTCCTGAATTGCCACTTTGCGTTGGTAGAGGGAGCATGTTCACCAGGGACCTCGTCCACTGATGAAATCATAGGTCCAGCCCAAATCATCCAATGAACAGGACTGTGGAAAGAAATCTGGAGACTCTTGTAAGTATAGAGTGGGGAAGGATTGTAGAAATCTTCTTTCTAACCTGCCCTCTACACTATACTTCGCCCCCACTTTTCATATGAGAAAACTGAGACCCAGGCCCTGAAGGAGTAACTCCCCAGATCATCCAGTGATGAAAGCAAGGCTGTCAGGCCTCTTGGCTGCAATGCCCTCTTCACCATGCCCTGTGTCAGGTCTCCAGCTGCTGCTTCTTTCTGAAAAGAGGGCATTTTGGAAGGGGATATCACTTTTCAATCTAATTCTACTCTTAGAAAGTTGCTTTGGGACTAAAATGTATGTGTTTTGGATTAGCCTTGAGCCAGAGTTTTCTTGGGAAATTTGAATTACGTTAGCTCAGCTACTCCAGATTCATATGGCATGGGAACATACACCTTTCATGCTGGGTTTTTAAAAATCTGTTTTTAAAAAATCTGTAAAGTATTTTTGTCTTGTTCAGCCTAAAATTGCTGAATCAGTAAAGCTGAGATTTGTTAGCTCTCTTTGAAGGATGACAACCATGCTAATTATGAAGCAAATTAGTTTAATGTGATAGCATGAAGTTTTTTTGTTTTAATACATGTTTTGAGTTACACTTTTTTCTTTTAAAACTGGTCCAATTAGAATATTCAATGAACATTTTTAAAGTTGAAAAAGGCCTCTTAGCTGTGCTGTTAATTAGGTGGTTGGGTTTTGGGGGGGAGGGGGCTCGGGGTTTAAGCTATATCTCAAGCTTAAAGAAAGTTAATGCAGACTCATTGTATCCAGAAGTCAGGACATTATAAGATTACGTTTCCTCACCCAAGGCCGTCTTAAGAAAAGTTGGCCTGGCTGAAAGCTGAGTCTTTCAGCACTCTTCTACCAATGTTCCAGAAAGGCCTGCTATGTATAGAGCACACAGTGTGCCAGGGCAACGTAAAAGTTTAGCTAAAATGTAATCCCTGTCCTCATGGAGCTTAGATTGTAGTAGAATGATATGTGCTAGGATGTCAGTCGTTATAATTCAAAGTTAGATTTTCTCCTTACATCAGAGAAGGTGCAGCAGAGTTAGTTAGGACCAGGGGCCAGGCTAGAAAGTCTTTCAGAGCCAGCTCATTAAGAGCTGTGTCCACGCACACTGTAAAGGTCAGTCTGGAGACTGTCACGTGAAGGTTACGTGGGCTTGGGGTAGCTTCCTGGGCTGCATCACAATGAAAACATTCCAAGATGGAACCATGGAAAGAAAAGCTCTTTGCTCAGAGATTTGTTTAAAAATGCATATTTAATGTGTATTTTAGGACATTGATTTATATTCAGATATATACAGATATTTCTATTTGTTCAAGGTATCTAAAGTATATGGTTTTATAGGAAAGTAGAGCTTTGGAGTTAACATTTGCTTGCTTATGTTTTCAAACTTAAAGTATTTTTTGTAGTCCAAATAACAGAAAGGTTGTGATAACCTTAAATATCTCAAGGCAATAATGAACTAAAGGGAGGAAATGAAATATTCTCATGAATTAAAAATTATCTAAGCAAGAATAATATTCCACTGGGAGATTAGGCAAAGTTCTTAGCAGAAAAGGGGCCAGAGGAAGCACTCTGTATCCTGAAGAAATTCGTGGTTTGTTGGGGTGGGAGGGTCCAGTCAAGATCTTCTAGTGTAGGCCCATCACTTAACAGGGGAGGCTCCAACACGGTGTTAGTGATGAGCCCCAAATCACGGGGCACTTGTCGCTATCTGAGGGTCACATGCAAAAGAAACCTTAATTTGTAAAGCAGGTTGGATGTTTAGGGATTGGACAAGAGACTAGAAAAATTGTCTGAAAGTCCATATTAAGTGTGGTTATCTCATCTTACAGCAAAGATGGAAAAAAAATAATCATTATAAAACCTAGGCTACAAAGCTTAGGGAATTCGTGTTTGAATGTCAGATTTTCTGTTCAGCTCTGATCTTTTCATCAGGACTGCTTGAAAGTCCTCTGTTTCACTAAATGTCCATTTTTTCCTCTGAAGAATTATACTGTTTTGCTCTTATGTGTGTACCAAGACCCATTTCCTGGTCAGTCTCACATCAATAGTAACTTCAAAACTGTCTGTGTAAAACTTCTTTAATCAGTAGAATTGTATTTTTTTCAATGCTGATATTGTTAAAGCTTTAAAAATATATCTACAAGTATGTGTGTGTGTTTGTTTGTATGTATGTGTGTATGTATGTAAACTAACATAAATTGGCAAAGTCATTGTTTTAGAGGACGTTAGAAGTGTTTAAATGTTATTTCATGGAGAAATTCCTTTCCTGCCTTGTGTTTTAAATTACAGCATGGCTGGTTAAAGCCTCAGTTTCTAAATCTTTTGATCATTAAGCATGAAAGTAAGCACAGACAACAAAATTGGAGTTGTTTCTGTCATCAAAAATGTTTGCTTTGCCAAACAAAATAAAGAAACAACAGCATATAAGAAGGTGGTAGACCACAGAGCATTTTAGAAAAAATTGGAAAAGAGTTCCCTGTATTTACTTGCTTAATGATTAGAAGAAACATGGGCATGCAGATCATGTGCAGGTAGACGGTGCCTTCAGGAGCATTATCACGCCCAGTCCTGGATTCTGGTTGTGTGTCAGCAGGAGGCCTTTGCCTTGGCGGTCAGTGTCCAGTGGAGCGTTTCCCAGCTCTTCATTGCTCAGTCTCATGTTCTGACCTAGAACATTAGGCCAAAGGGTACAGTGAAGTCATGTGATCTGTGGAGAATGTTTTGGTTATTCCTAGTTCCCACAATCAAATGAAAAGTTGATAATTGCATAATACTTATATAACCTTTTCTACAAAATCACTGTAGTACGTATTTAGACATTAGCAAAATACTATTTCGTTTCAAAGGGTTCTTATGAATTTTAGAGAATTTGAACACTTAATTTTTATTTGTATATGTCGAGGTTTTCTTTTGTACCATGGACTATACTTTCATTTTCCCTGCTACCCAAGTTCCTGTGCTATGTAGGCTTATAATTTCTTATCTTTAGATTTTGAAATAATGTTGACGGATGGAAGTTAAGCATTTTAAAATGAAGTAATGCATCTGCCAGGTATATTCTTTAAAGGTTACTGTTACTGAAAATTAGTAGTATTGATATTAATAAAGTAAGCATTTTCTTCCTGGGAGAGAAATTACATTATGGAAGTTCCTGTGATGCTTTTCATTTGCTGGCATTGTATTTAGATTTTAAAAAATCAAAAATGTTGGAAATAAGAAAAAAGTCCTGTTCCTCAGAATAATAACTGAGACAAAGTGTTTCTCCCCCTTCCTATTCCCAAATTGTCAGATATTCATAATAACCCAATTTTCTTTAATCTTAAAAAAAATGAGGGAAACCTTCCACTTTTGCTACTTCCTTTTATTCTAGGAACTAATTTTCAAGTTATCTTTACTGAAGTTTTCATTCAACATATATACGTCAGTCACTTCCTTTCTATAAAGCACTGTATAGGATTTATTGGTGAGCATAGAGATAAGTAGAGTATATATAGCCCTTCCTCATACAACTTATAATCTAGTAAGATAGTGAGGGAAAAAGTAATAAATGTGTGTTAAATGCCTATTATGCACCAGGCACTGTGCTAAGTACTTTACAAATATCATCTCATTTGATCCTCAACAACTCTGGGAGGTACATGCTATTATTCTCCTCATTTTGCAGTTGAGGAAACTAAGGCCAAAAGAGGTTAAGTGATTTGCCAAGGGTCACACAGCCAGGCAGTGTCTGAGGCTGGATTTGAACTTGGGTCTTCCTGACCTGACCCAGAGCTCTGTGCACTCTGCCACCAGCAAGTTGATACTGCAGATTTTAAATTGCTATGTCATTATCCGAGTGGGATTTTAAGCAAATTAATCTTGTGAATTAGGTAAGGCAGAAATTGGCGGCATAGATAAAGAGCTAGTAAGATTTGTTAATAATAATGGTAAGATTTGGTAATAAACCCAGTTAGGGTGGGAACAGTCAGAATGGAAAAGGAGGAATCTCCAAGTCTGCAGCAGCTTGGCTTTAAGGAGTGAAGGAGAGGGTAGTCAAAGACAGCTTTGATGCTTTGGGCATGGGCGACTAGGCCGGGTGGTTCGTTGGGTGAAGTTTCAAGTTCCAGAAACACACAGGAGTGGAAAAGACCAGCAGGTGATTGGGAATTTGGAACTGGAGGTCCGTTGAAAGGTCAAGGTGTAGAAGGGAGTCTTGGGAGTAACTAGATGAAGTCACATCGGGAGAGAAGAGGGCCAAAAACCAGAGTCTGAAGTGATGCCCACATTAAAGGGGCCACCGAAATGAGATGCCCACATGAAGGGGCTAGGAGGAAGCGCCAGAGGAAAACTTCCCACAACACGCACTCTTCTGTTAGCCCAGGAGAGAGTAAGTGTCAAGAAGCCTTGAGTATCCGCCCCCAGTGTGAAATGCTTGGGAGGTCAAGATGGATAGAGCCAATTCTATCATGGAGACACAAAGGAGGAGGAGGGTGGGGGCAGGGAGTATGGGACAAGGGTAAAGCTGCTTTGTGAGTCACAGGTTCTTTGGGCCGCTATTGGTGATTGTAGGGCAGAATGTCAAATTGCTCACTTAAAAGTGATTTTTGGAACACGGTTTGTAAGTTAGGAACTGTCTGTGCCTGCATGAGGGTACCATTGGTCTAGGTTGACTGTAGAAATGGACTTTAATAGCCTGAATGATTTTATATCCCTCCAGTAAGCGAATAGTTCGTTCTTCATAGTATGAGCAAGGTGCACATGTTGAGAAGGGAAGGGGCGGTTGGGCCAGGGAAGCATGAACAGATGAATACTTTGGGGCAACGTTAGGCGGTCATCCAACATTTCAAGGCTTATCACTTGACTAGGCTTGTTTGGCCTGGCCTCAGTGGGCAGAGCCAGAAGTAATGGGTAAAAACCGCAGAGAAGCATTTGGGCTCCACGTGAAGCAAAGCTTCCTAACAAGAAGGGCCGGCCCAGAGGGGATAGGCTGTCCTGGGAGGGCGGGAGGCCCCTCATTGGAGATGGCTGAGGAGCTGTCTCAGTGCTGAAGTTTGGAATAAGGTCTCCTTCCCCTGTTCTAGGGACAAAACCGAATGATTTAAACTTTACCTGTACCTCCTGGCCACCTTTTGCTGGAAGTATTGATGAGGGCAGAGAACAGTTCAATCCAATAAGCATTTATGGAGCGCCTGCTGTGTGCCAGACGCTGTGCTTGCTGCCCGGGATATGATGAGATGGATGGCAGGAAGCTGAAAAAGAGATATGCAGGACTGATTAGTGCCTCCTTGACCCGTAGCACCCTGTTAGACCATTTAGGGTCTCTGTGTAAGCGCTAGGATTGACAAAATAATTCTCAGGTGTCCAACATACGTGAGTTAGAATTTAAAGGTTGAGTGGTTATTGGGTGTTAGGAGGGCGAGGCCTGATCTCAAAGTCAGATTAAGCTGGTCTGATAGTTTGCCTCCCCAAAGGCTTTCTGAATTTCCTTTGTAGACAGATTGTATGATCACCTTTCTTTGGTTTTGCTTCTGTAGAATTACCTGTGAGAAGCAGCACCACGGATTTGCTAAATTGACGTCCTGTGTGGCACTCTGCCCTGCAGTTTCTGGGAAGTTTTGTGTGTGGTTTGTAAATAGCACAAAATCATGGTGCATTTTTCCTGCTTTAGGTTGTGACTTCTGCTAAAGTATGTGGGATTACTGATGAATCACCGACTGTCCGCAGGCTCCGTTTCCTGATCGCCGAAAAAAGTTTTACTTTCAAAGCTGGCCAGTGGTGAGTCGTTTTTACTTTCTTCATGTGGTACGTGGAGGGGCAGATTCCGTCATTGCTCCTGCATTTCATCCTTTTTGTGGGGAAAGGGAATCCAGATCTTTGAACCAGCTCCTGAGGAGGCTTCTTGTGTCTGTGGACATGGCAGCTACTTTTCAGTTTACAGTCTGAGAGGTGAAGGACCTTGTCTACAGTCCCTTAGGCTGTGGGTGTCCAAAGTGGGGGCCCTGAGCCTAGGTTGTCCTGGCTGAGGCTGGCCTGCTAGCGTATGTTTGCTTGATTTTGTACGATGATGACTTTCGGCCCCCTGACTTACGCAGAGGATGAATACTTTTAATATGTCCATTTTTCTGATTTAGAATAATGAGTGGGGAGTTTACTTTTTAAAGTTTCCATTAAAAATCATTCTTACCAACTCTTGCAGTTATGGATAGTTGACTGACAATTCTACAAGTAGTATCTGACGCTGTGAGGGGGTGAATGAGTCTTTTTATTAATTTTTTAAAATGAACAAGCATTTCTTTTCTCCCCCCGATCTTTCCTCCCCACATTGTTGTTGTTTAGTTGTTTCAGTGGTGTTTGACTCTTCGTGACCCCATTTGGGGTTTTCTTGGCAAAGATCCTAGAGTGGTTGGCTATTCCTTTCTCCAGCTCATTTTATAGATGAGGAAGCCGAGGCCAGCAGGGTGAAGTGATTTGTCTGGAGTCACATAGCTAGGAAGTGTTTGAGCTCAGGAAGATGAGTCGTCTTGACTTCAGGCTTGGCACTTTATGCTCTAGGCACCACTTAGCTGCCCTCTTCCTTCCCCCCATAGCCCTGCTGGAAAAAGAAAAAAAGGAAACAAGAAGTTGTCTTCCTCATCAGTCTTCTGGAGTCAAGGTCAGTCAGTGTGTCAGTGAGAGAGAGTTCTTAAGTCTTTCATAGATGTTCATTTCAGCAGTGGTGTTGTTACAGCATACATGGTTCTCCTACTTCTGCTCACCTCATTCTGCATCAGTTCATAACAAGTCTTTCTCAGCAACTGTCCTATTCATCATTTCTTGTAGTAAAGAGTATACCATGATTTGTTCAGCCATTCCCTTACCTCCTTGATTTCTTTGTGGTTCTTTACCACCACAAAATTGAGCTGCAGTAAATGTTTTTACATATAAATTTCTTGGGTCTCTTTAAGGTAGAGGGAATCATTTTTGTTACTACTTTTCTAGCCAGCTTTTCCCAGCTCTACCTGTAACCTGTGACCTCTACCTATAAACTCGTTGGGACACAGGAGGCAGACATCTCCCAACATTCCTCTCACCACCCACTCCACTCATTTAGACATCCACTAATGCCCTCCAGCCCATCCACTATTAAAAATTTTTTATATGTGTATAATATTCAGACATTGGCTATCTTCTTTCCCTACTTATCACTACTTTTACCCATTTGGTAAAGGGAATAGGTAAAGGGAAAGCTAGATGACGCAGTGGATAGAGCACCGACCCTGCATTCATGAAGACCTGAGTTCAAATCTGGCCTCAGACACTTGACATTTACTAGCTGTGTGACCCTGGGCAAGTCACTTTATCCCACTGCCTCACCAAAAAAAAAAAAAAAAATAGGTAAAGGAAAGAGAAGAATTTTAGGCCCTGGAGACATGCCAGATTTCTTTGAAACCCACCAAAGGGTCCTGGGGTGCTGATTGGGGAACAGCAACTCGGACCCTTCTTTGAATAGGAGCGCTTCTGCAGTGTGCAGTGGGAAGCCACCTGCTGGGTCACTGTCTGGAAATGAATCCTTCCCTCAGAGGAGCAGTTTTGCATTTTTATAAGGCTGAACTGGTGAGTGATCATCAAAAACATACCAGGATTGAAAGATGAGATTCAGGCTGCAAATCAGAAAACCCAGGCTTTCTAGGTAGCCTGTTGCTTCTGGTTATCTGGGGCAATGCAGATTTCAGATGAGAAGGTTTTTTTTTTTTTTCATTTGTTTATGCCTCAATAGACTTTAATTACTTTATCTTTTTTTTTAATTTATTTATTTTTAGTTTTCAGCATTCATTTCCACAAGATTTTGAGTTCCAAATTTTCACCCCATCTCGCCCCTCCCCCCACCCCAAGATGGCATGCATTCTGAATACCCCTTCCCCTAGTCTGCCCTCCCTTCTATCTCTCCCGCCCTTCTCTTATCCCCTTCCCTTTCTATTTTCCTGTAGGGCAGGATAGATTTTTTACCCCATTTCCTATATTTCTTATTTCCCAGTTGCATGTGAAAACATTTTTTTTTAAACATGTGTTTTTAAAACTTTAGGTTCCAAATTTTCTCCCTTCCTCTCTCCCTACCCACCCTCATTGAACGTCAAGCAACTCAATACAGGTTATACATGTACAGTTATGTAAAACACTTCCATAGTAGACATGCTGTGAAAAACTAACTCTATTTCCCTTAATCCTATCCCGCCCCCCATTTATTCTATTCTTTCTTTTGACCCTGTCCCTCATTAGAAGTGTTTGCTTCTGATTACCCCCTCTCCCAATCTGCCCTCCCCTCTATCATCCCCTACTCTCTTGTCCCCTTCCCCCCCATTTTCCTGTAGGGTAAGATAGATTTTCATACCCAATTGAGTATGTATGTTATTCTCTCCTTAAGCCAAATCTGATGAGAATAAAATTCACTCATTCCCTCTCACCTTCCACCGTTTCCCCTGCACTATAAGAGCCTTTTCTTTTCTGTTTTTTTGTGAGATAATTTACCCCATTCTACCTCTTCCTTTCTCCTTCTCGCAGTGTAATCCTCTCTCACCACTTAATTTTATCCTCTAGATATGACCCCTTCATCTTCAACTCACCCTGTGCCCTCTATCTATCTATCTATCTATCTGTCTATCTATCTATCTATCTATCTATCTGTCTGTCTATCTATACATACATATAATTTTTTCCCTCCAACTACCCTAATACTGACAAAGATCTCATGAGTTACAAATATCATCTTTCCATGCAGGAATGTAAACAGTTCAGTCTTAATAAGTCTCTTATGATTTCCCTTTCCTGTTTACCTCTTCATGTTCCACTTGAGTCTTGTATTTGAAAGTCAAATTTTCTATTCAGCTCTGGTCTTTTCATCAAGAATGCTTGAAAGTCCTCTATTTCGCTGAATGACCATTTTTTCCCCTGATGGATTATACTCAGTTTTGCTGGGTAGGTGATTCTTGGTTGTAATCCTATCTTCTTTGCCCTCTGGAATATTATATACCATACCCTGCGGTCCCTTAGTGTAGAAGCTGCTAAATTTTGTGTTAATCTGATTGTGTTTCCACAGTACTTGAATTGTTTCTTTCTGGCTGCCTGCAATATTTTCTCCTTGACCTGGGAACTCTGGAATTTGGCTACAATATTCCTAGGAGTTTTCCTTTGGGATCTCTCTCAGGAGGAGATCGGTGGATTCTTTCAATTTCTATTTTGCCCTCTGGTTCTAAAATATCAGGGCAGTTTTCTTTGATAATTTCTTGAAAGATGATGTCTAGGCTCTTTTTTTGATCATGGCTTTCAGATAGTCCAATAATTTTTAAATTCTCTCTCCTGGACCTATTTTCCAGGTCAGTTGTTTTTTCAATGAGATATTTCACATTGTTTTCTAATTTTTCATTCTTTTGGATTTGTTTTACAGTGTCTTGATTTCTCATAAAGTCACTGGCTTCCAATTGCTCTATTCTAATTTTTAAGGAGGTATTTTCTCCAGTAGGCTTTTGGACTTCCTTTTCCATTTGGCCAATTTTGCTTTTTAGGTCATTCTCCTCATTGGCTTTTTGGACCTCTTTTGCCATTTGGGTTAGGCTATTTTTTAAGGTGTTATTTTCTTCAGTATTTTTTTCAGTCTCCTTTAGCATCATTCTCAGTTTTTCCTCTACTTCTCTTACTTGCTTCTCAAAATCCCTTTTGAGCCCTTCCAGGGCCTGGGACTGATTCATATTTTTCTTGGAGGCTTTGGATGTAGGAGCTTTGGCTTCGTTGTCTTCTTCTGGTTGTGTGTTTTGATCTTCTTTGTCACCAAAGTAAGATAATATAGTCTGACTCTTTTTGCGCTGCTTGCTCATGATCCCTGCCAACTACGTGAGTTATAAATTCTTTGTTAAGGTAGGGGTCTGTTTCCAGTGTGGAGAATGTACTGTCCCAAGCTTCAGCGGTTTTGTGTAGCTGTTTTCAGAGATACTTCTAGGGACCTGTAAATTTTCAGTTCTTCCAAGGTGCTATGGTCAAGGACGAGGTGTTTACTTCTTTTCTGTCCTGTTCTCTGCTCTATGAGTGACCACAAGCACTCTTTTCTGTCTTGGAACTGTGAGGAGGATTTCCTCTCCACAGCCACTACAAGCTCCACCATGCCAGCTCTCCTCCTCACCCCAGGACCACCACCCAGAACTGTGACCCAGATCCAAACACGCGCAAAGCAGGAGAATCCTGCACTAGCAGAGAGATCCGTGCAATCCCCCTCTGATCAGCCACTCGATTCCCCCTCAGTCTGTGGACCAGAAGCTCAGGAGGCAGCCGCCACCCCAGGGCTGAGCTTGGGGAATGGGGCTAGGACCCCACACTTCTCTCTCTCATTGCAGAAACAGACTTTTCCCACTGACCTTCTAAGTTGTCTTTGGTGTTCATGGGTTGAGAAGTCTGGAGACTGCCACAGCTGCTCATGATTCAGTCCTCTGAGGCCTGCTCCAGGTTCGCTGCAGCCTGCACGTCCACGCCAAACCGTGCTCCTCTCCTAGCCCGGCATGATATACCTTTCCAATCAACCATCCAGGTTGTCTTAGGCTGGAAATTTGTTTCATACTTTTTTTTGTGGGTTCTGCTGCTTTAGAATTTGTTTAGAGCCATTTTTTACAGGTATTTAGAGGGGTTTGGGGGAGAGCTCAAGCAGGTCACTGCTCCACTTCCCCCCCCCCCGCCCCCGGTTGAGAAGTTTTGTCCCCAGGATAAGCACCGGAATAAAGCTGCATAAGGATGGTTCACTCTTCTAAGCTGAG